TTCTAGGTAAAGCTTTTAAAAGGACGTAGTTTTATTAAATACTAAAAATATCTAAAAAAAAGTTGTTAGCACTTTTGTCGTTAGCGTTACGTAATTAATATAGTTTGACTCTCATTGCTATTGGAGAATTATTCTTAAGTGTCTTTTGTTAAAAAAGCAAATAGCAATATCTGATTGTCAGATGCTTCTCACTATGTGAATAGTGTTAGTTTCCTATAAGGCGAAATATGAACTAAGCAAAAATGAAATATTTAATAGTATCTTTTTTCATAGGTACTCAGTCTATAAAAATGTAACTACTTATTTTTAAAAAATAAGTATACTAAATGTGAAATCAATCTGATTGTTAATTCTATTATCGATAGAACTATCTTAAGTATTTTGATATTCATATACGTTACTTGCAGTATTCATATTTCTGACGTAGTCGCTTTATGTACTCTAGTTATTAAATAGAAAAAATTTCGAGTGGGATTGGATGTAGCATTTGTCAAATGTTTTCTATCGACGGTTATATAATAATTTACTCGAATTACGTTCGAGTGTTTCTAATACGATTCACGTCTTTTTGCCATATAAATCTTCTGTTTACTAACCGTGACTGGAAATTCGAGTTTAGACATACAATTAGCGATAGATTATGAGCGGACAGCTGATATTATGCATTTATTAAAAATTGTATCGGCAATTGAACATGAAGAATGTTTGCCATGTTTAAAAATATAAAGAATATTAAAAGATGAGTAATTTACATGACAAATTAAATGTCCATTTAGAATGCGTTTTTTAAACTGATATCATCAATGTTTTACATAAAAATCCGCAATCTAATTATAAGGTATATTACCTCATATTATAAACGTTTAGTTTTTACACAAAACTTAATAAACACGGATAATTACATTGAAAACATTATAATTGAATAATTGCGAATGATATGAATGGATTAGAAAATCATTCTTTCCCCATTAAAGGGACAGCGGTAGATAGTGGCATGTCGCGAGGAATAAAATGAAGGAAAAGAGCGAGGTTCTTTCAGGATAATTAACTTTGAGCCACACGCGCTGTTTTTGTACGTCGACACGGATAACAGGTTAATGATTATGACTGCAGTATTTCGTACACACACGATCTCCTTAACGAGCGCGTTTCCTGCTTCTTGCGGTACAAGAATCGGACTTTGCGATTGAGATATCCGATGAAGATTTCCAGTTTAACATCGCAGAGACATCGCCGATCTCGATGTGATTTCGAATTCCACGGGAACCAATAAGGATTCAAATCGAGTCTCAACAGGCACACCTACAAAAACTGTGACGATAACGAGAATAAAATAGATTAAGAACTGATGAATTACTGGGTGTGGAAAATTCAAATTTTATGGAAACCAGGCTACTTTGCATCGAGGCGTGGGAACTCTTTAAGATAGACTGAAAATCAGTCTGGAAAGAAATCTTTAAAGATAAACTATTTGTGAAGACGAAAAGAATATCAAACTGAGGAAAATCTTGTTTTATTTTGATCGAACAAAATTCTAATTATACGGTAACCATGTTTCTCTGCATCGAAACAGACTGGGAATTTTTCAGGACAAATTGAAAATGAGTCTGAAGAGAAATCTTTAAAGAGAAACTGTTGGAAGGGTAAGAAGAATGTAACTAAGGAAAATCTTGTTTCATCTTGAGGAGAAAAAATTTGAAGTTTTCGTGGAAGTTTCCTGCGGACACTTGTTCGAATTTAGGCCAAGAATCGTCAACGTTGAATTATGTTCTCGGTCGCGGCCCAGCACGATTTCGACGGGCACCTTACAATCTCGTTGAATCTCGTATGGGAAACTAGAGATCAGGAGAAAAATCCGGAGGACCGGACGTTTACGACCTTCTCTTCACGGGGGACACCCGAGATGGAATCTGAACGCGAAGATTCCTCTCTCGATTGTCCGAGGAATCCCTCGAACGTAATAAATCCAAACGCGAATAACTCATTTCAACTTCGTATATGCATACAAAAACAAAGTGTTTTATATAACTAAAAAAAATAAATACTTCATACAATTCTAATTTGTTTTGTCTTAATGGAATTACTTTGATGTAGAATTATTTGCATAAATAATATCATCATCAGA